AGACCCAGGCCTGGCTCAGCAGAGGGGGGCGAGACCCCAGCCCAGCTCTGCCGAAGGGGACGAGACCCAGGCCCGGCTCAGCAGAGGGGAGGAGACCCCAGCCCAGTTCTGCAGACGGGTGAGACCCCAGCCCAGCTCTGCCGAAGGGGACGAGACCCAGGCCCGGCTCTATGGATGGGACGAGACGCAGGCCTGGCTCAGCAGAGGGGATGAGACCCCAGCCCAGCTCTGCCGAAGGGGACGAGACCCAGGCCCGGCTCAGCAGAGGGGGGTGAGACCCCAGCCCAGCTCTGCCGAAGGGGACGAGACCCAGGCCTCGCTCTGCCCAGGGGATGAGTCTGGCCTCGAGCTGGGCTCCACCTGGCCACAGGGGTCAGTTCAGAGAAGGCTCAGACCTTAGGGGTGGATGGAAGGGAGATCTTGGCAGGGGGGGATGAAAGGGGATGCCCAGCTGGGGCGATGTCAGCCTGGACGGGGTCACCCGGCCCAAGCAGGGTCGAACCCGGGCCCAATTGGGCCCGGGGGGTGTGGCCAAGGGAGAAGGGGCCGGGAGAGGGCGGGGCGCAGGCTTGACAGACAGGCCCGGGCTGGCGGAGCCCCTCCTCCCGTCCTCCTCCCTCCCCCTCCCGTCTCCCCGCCCCCCCCTCCCTGGGCCGAGTTCGCCCGAAGCGGCCCGAAAGGGCGGCCGGAGGCGGCGGACGGAGCCGAGGCTGCCCGAGCAGGCCCGAGCGGGCCCGAAGCGCGCCCCGAGCGCTCCCGAAGCTGCCCCCGCCGCCGCTGAGGCTCCTCCTCACGGACAGGCAGGGCGCCACGAAGATGGCTGCCCCCGCCGCGCCGCTGCGGTCCCGGGACGCACCGAGAGGCCGGCCGCGCGCCCACGCCCGGGCCCAACCGAGAGTTGCCGACGCTAGCCGAGCCCGTCCGAGGACGACGGCCGCGCGCCCGAAGATGGCCGAACGGCAGCCGAAGCATCCCATTGGCTGCGGGGCCGCGGGGCCGCGCCCGCCGCCGCGGGGGGCGTGGCCGACGCGCCGCCGAGGACGCTGGTGGAAGGCGCACGGGCTGCCGGGATCGGGGCGGACCGAGGGGTGGTGGGGGCTAAGATGGCGGTCGTACGGAGAGGTGAGGCGGCGGCTGAGAGCGCCATAGGGCGTAGCGGGGATGCAGGGGGCAGGGGACGAGACTCAGATCCCACGCCGGCGTGCTGCCGGGAAAGCCGGCTGGCTAACGCCAACCCACCCCGCCAACTTTGGCGCCTGCGCAGTAAGTGCCGGGTCCTGGAGAGTCCTAGATAGAATGTGCTGCAGGGTTCCCAGGACGAGAGCATAGCCATGGCTGTGGCGCCGGCGCAGTAAGTGCCGGCCTTGAGAGCCTTAGGTAGAATGTTCCGGGTTCCCAGGACGGAAGGCGCAACCGTGGCTTTGGCGCCTGCGCAGTAAGTGCCAGGTCCTCGAGGGTTCCTCTGCCGCTGACGTTGAACTTGACCCTCACCTTTTCGGAAGGGATTGCCCATCCGGAGCCTGACCCTGTAATCAGGGAGCTCTAAGTTCGAATCCCGCCCCCGCCCTTCCCGTGACGTCGGCCAAGTCACTTGGTTTTTTTTTTACCTCTAGCTTCCTTATCTGTAAAATGGGTTAGAATTGGGTTTTTTCCCTATATTGACCATTGTGGGCCAATAGAATTGATTTCCTTGGTCATCCCTTGCATTTTGTGCATTTAAAATGTGATTCTGAGAAGGGAGCAGTTAGGCAGCATTAAGTGCCTAACCCTAAATACCATGCACTGCCAACTGTCCCTACCCTCATGGAGCATGCGGTCAAATGGGGGAGGCGGCCACAAACCTGGACACACAAGCTATAGATAGGATAAATAGGAAATCATTAACCAAGGAAAGCCTGCAGAGATGCAGAAGGGCCCCTAGAAACGCACCCCAGCCCCCCCCCCCCCCCCCGCCCCCCCGCCTGCTCAGCCCTGGAGGACACACTCCTGGGGTCCCCTGCAGGGCTAATCTGCTCCAGGGTCAAGTCAAAATGGGTCCCTTTGGGGGCAGCTGGATGGCTCAGTGGATAGAGCTCTGGCCTTGGAGTCAGGAGAACCCGAGTTCAAATCCAGCCTCAGACACTTAACACTTACTAGCTGTGTGACCAAAAAAACAAAACAAAATGGGTCCCTTTGCTCTTTTCCCCACAAATCAGCCTTACACAGGCAAGCCCTCCTGCAGAGCCTCTTGGCAGAGGAGATCCTCCTCTTTTTTCTCTTCCTCCTCCTCCTTCTCTTCCTCTTCCTTTTTCTCTTCTTCCTCCTCCCCTCCACTTTCTTTCCTCCCCTTTCTGACCTCATCATTCCACCAAAACCTCTTACTTGCCGGTCCAATGGCCTCTTCTCAATCCTTATTCTTGACTTCTCTGTGGCCTTGCACACTGGTGATCACTCTCCTCCTGGATACTTTTTTTCCTCTAGGTTTTCAGGACACCCCCTCCCTCTTCGCTTCTGGTTCTCCTTCTCTGTCTCCTTTACTGGATCCTCCTCCACATCATGCCCGCAAGCATACTTCCCTCCATACTGTTGGCTGCTGGGTGATACAAGGGATAGAGCACAGGTCCTGGTGTCAGGAACCTGAACTCCAGATTTCCTGGATTCAAATCCAGCCTCAGATATCTACTAGCTGAATGACCTTGGACAAGTCACTTAAACTTGGCCTCAGTTTTCTCAACTATAAAATGGAAATAATAGCACCTACCATCCAGGATTGTTGTGAGGATCAAATGAGTAAATATTTGTGAAGATTTTAGTACACAGTGCCTGGCATATAGTAGGTACTATATAAATTCTAACTATTATTATTATTTTACTTAGTGATCTCATCAGCTCCCAAAGATTTAATTATAATTTCTAAGCTGAAGATTCTCAAATCTACCGATCCACCCTAAACTCTCTGCTGACCTTCAGTCTCTCATCTCCAACTTCCTTTCAGACAGTGCAAACTGGATATCCAGTAGTTATCTTAAACTCAGCATGTCCAAAACAGAATTCATCATCTTTTCCCCTGATCCCTGCCCTCTTCCTACCTTCCCTGTTACTGTAAAGGGGACCACCCTCCTCCCCGTCCCCAGGCTCCTAACTTGAGAGTCCTCCCAGGCTCTTCTCTCTCATCCCCCCATATCCGATATGATACAAAAGCCTGTCGATTTCCCCTCT